CACCGTATTGAGACCAGATGTAGGATAAATGTAACACTGTAAGAAAGTCTACAATATGACTGCAGGTGTAAAATGTCAAATGGCATACCCCTGAAATTAATTTTTTGCTCTTCTTAATAAAAGCTAGACTATTACACACTAATGGGCTAGTTTTTATATCTGCGCAAACTATACCTTTCACTTACAATACATTACATCCACAGCCGACTATTTTCTTAGGAGGCTCAGGTCCTTTGGTGTGTGTGGAACACTGCTACACACTTTTTATGAATCAGTGGTGGCAGCGGCCATCTTCTACGCTGCTGTGTGCAGGGGCAGCGCCATCATGACAAGAGATGTAAATAGGCTTAATAAACTCATCAGGAAGACTGGCTCTGTGTTGGGGCTGAGGCCTTGACCCCCTGGAGGTGGTGGCTGAGAGAAGAATGCTGACCAGGTTCACGGCCATCATGAACAACACCTCTCATCCGCTACATGGGACTGTTATTAGGCAGCAGAGCACTTTTAGCAACAGACTGCTCCACCTACGGTGTTCAAGGGAACGTTTCCGCAGGTCTTTCCTCCCGGCGGCTGTCAGGGTGTATAACACTGCCCTAGGCTAGGACTGTTAGCCCTTCAGTTGCTCGTCTATGGACAGCATGTTGCTCCATTGTACTTTTTGGACAATCAATCTGTATAAACCTATGCACATCTTGCAAATATTGTATAGTTTTTATAGTTTTTACAGTGACTATGATCATCATATTTTGCACACACCTATGTGTTTTTTTTTATCGTGTATAACTCTTTGTCTATTCTGATGTCTGTTTTTGCTTGTCTTGGGCTGGACTGCTGTAACACATCAATTTCCCTGCGGGATCAATAAAGTCTGATCTTATCTTACCTGTTCGACTTGGTTCATGGATAGATTCAAACTCTGCGTACACAGTGTCCGGACACTCCAGCGTCACAGCATTCATATCTGCTTGTTCTGTTAACGCTGTTGGAGGAAGCTCATCTGGATCAGGTAACAGGGGCTCCTGATGATACTGCTTGTTTTTGTCACTGTTGGCTTCATAGCCTAAAAATGTTTGGAAAAACAAAAAATTAAAATAAACAGCAACAAACAAAATCAGGTGCCTCTGCCTTCCAGAAAGCTGACTGGAGGCTGGCTTCCTGGTTTCTTTGAACCGGTCTAGTAATTGCTGAAGCAGAACATTTTTAAGGCAACTCCTCTCCCTTTAACAGGCCATCAGTGATCTTCATCACTCATCAGGTATGTGTGTATTTTATATCATCCTTGCATTAATTACAAAGTAATTCTATAAGACTTACATTGACAAATCTTACAATTAAGTACACATAACATTGTGCGCAAGTATAATGATAAATTAATATGACGAATGACAGAAGATCTATCTGAAACAAACAGGACGTTGTTCATTATCAGGGATATGTAATAGGACAGAAATGATCAAAATTCAATATTTCTACCCAGTGCTGTGCATGTACAAAATACTGTTTTTATTTAATAAAACTCTTAAGGAATAAGGTCAGATAAAATATAGATCCAATATTAGCAAACGTCTGTGCCCTTTATTTGACCAGGTCTTCTTCATACAAAGTTATCTCAGGTGTTCTGACAATACGGGAAAAGAGCTTGCTTTTCTCTTGCCATGCTGCTTGAACACCACAAGGCACTTCATACTGTCAAGACAATAAAGAGTCTGACAAGTCATTGGTCTTATGCCTAAACAAAAGGCAATGAAGAAATTAAGATTTAATCTTTAATCTCAGGGTGGAACAGACCGATAAATGGAAATCTCAGATGGCAGAGCATAAAGAACAATGGGCTAATAAAGGTAATGGAAACGTAATAATGCAACAAGCACTAGAGCTAATTATTTGTCACATAGATAAAGAGATGCATTTTTAACATTCACAATTAGGTTTTCTTATGCTAGCGCCATGAATTCTCTGGTGTCATAATGAGTGAAATTAAAAGATTCAAAGTCAGAGAAGGATGTTGAACAATGAGTTCAATGTCTGCATGGAGGGCTTGCTCAGGAGAGACCCACAGGAAACATCAGTGGAATAGTAATCGTGTCATTTTATATTCATAAACTATTATCGGAGAAAGATTCCAACAATTTTGTAATAATGGGAAAAAGAAAAAGATATTACCTTCGGGACAAGGGTCTTCGGAAATCTCAGAGGTGTCTTTCCAGGACTTGTGAGCACTCCTATTGGTCGAGCCGGTGGCTTCCAAATTAAACATGTGATTTGCCCATACTTTTGCATTTGGGTTAAGGTCAGAGACCTTAGCAGATTCCTGCAAAAAATTAAAATTATTTTTCAGTTATTTCTCTTTTTTGCAATAATTTATCAGCTACTGCCCGAGGACCTTGTGTTTCAAAAGATGTACATAAATTCTGAAGTTTAACTTCTTTTAACTTTAAAAAAAAGTGCATCACTTTGCGGAGTATTTTTTTAAAACTTGTGTTAAGATGAAAATGAGTTATAAATAACAGCTAATTTGCTTATTTAGTTTTTGATAGAGGTTTGCCAACAAGTTTCAGAAACACATTTGCACGAAACTCTCCCACTTCTTACAGCTTTTCGGCAGATTTGAGCCTATAAATCGCATTCAGGAGGAGATGCCTTGGCCATTTCTAAGCCTGTAGACCTTAGTGGAACTTAGTCAATGGTCCCAGGGTTACGAATGCCATCACACACCATCTAGGGCGGATCTATAAAAAAAACAAACACTGACGGACATGGATTGTTGCTACAGAACATCATTCATTCTTGTACTTCTTAAGCCTGATCACTTTAATCACCAGGTTAAAATACAAACTGTTGCACAACAGGAACAAGACTATGGACTAAAGGATTGAATCCAACTGGTCAAACACAACATTATTAAACAAGTATCTGGTCACCTAGTTTGACTAAATACGGAGCCCACCAAAAGCATTGGGGTAGTACAGTCTAAACCTAAGATTTATGCTATAAACTCTAATCATTTCTCATATAAAACATTACTGATATCAACAACCACTATGCATTTATTTTATAGGCAAAATTTAAATATCAATTCAGTTCTACGCTCAAGGGAATCAACTTGATATTAATGCATCTCTCAGTTTTGAAGGAGGAAAATTATTGGGACCTTTGGCTGACAGGTGGCACTTGATGGACAGGTGTTTGTTGTTGAGTTACTGGGCACTAATAAAAGTGTTATTAAAATCCCATCAACTTGCTTTGATATCAGTGTTTGGAATCTGTACCCTGACAGTCAAAATCAAATTCGAAGATCCTTCGTTTAAAGCAAAATAGGAAACAAAGAAGAAAAACCAGCAATAATCTCAATCATAGCTCAGACATTGAGCATCCCGAAATCCAAAAAATGTTTGGAGTTAACCAACAAAAACACTAGTAGAATTACCAATCAGACAAAACTGATAGAAATTCTAAGCTTTCGAGGACAACCCCATAACAACTTTCAGTAAATCAAAATGCACATTTCAAGGAAAACAGGCACAACAGAACTTATATATAATACAAAGGTTATATAGCAATATTTAAGCCTCTCATCAGCACCAAAAATTGATAATTCAGATTCAAATATGCATGGAAGTGCAAAGTTTTACAGACAGTTGATACTAAGATAATGTTCAACCTATCACTTTGGTATGGTTTATGAAGAAAGAGATGCACCTTCATGCATCTCTGAAGCATGGTAGAGGGAATACAAAGAGCGAACTCATCTTTACTGATGGGGTCCCTAATGATGGCAGCAGCAGAATGAACTCCTACGTTTACAGAAACATTTTACCTGCTTAAGTAGAAGGCAATCACATTTGGAACTTGTTCACTAGGATAAAACCACCTAGCCATGTTCAGAATGTCATTAATCACTGTAGTTAATTATAATGTGGTTGCGTGCAGCATCTTTTTTCTTGTTGAGCACAGCATCCTTTATTATTCTGAATGTGCTGGGTTGCAACTCCAACATTAATGATGACTTCAAAGGCACTTGACGCATTATGGTTTTGATATTTTGTTTCAGGCCGCCTGAAACACGTGGGATCCAGAGGATACATGTATAAAGTAAGACTGCTAACTGACATGCCACAAGGTTTAAGTTACAAACTCCCAAAATAAACTTAACTCACTACAAGGACAGCTGGCAAAAATAAAATACAGCCCAGTTGTCTTCTTCCCCAAAAGGTTTCCCAGCAATATAAAGTTCCACTATATATAGGAATTCCTCAATTTCTAACCATATAACCTTAACATAATACAGGAAACACTGCGAGCACTGTAAAATGTATTTTAATTGTGTTTATTCTCAACTTGAGATCCTACATGTGTTACAAGTTACAGGGTACATTATATTGCTGTTGTTTTTCTTTGATGTTATTGTTACTGTCACCAAAAATACTGGAACAAACCACACCAAAGGGATTAAGCAGACAGAATGTGGTTAAGGGCCAAAGGTCAAGGGTCAGAAGCAAAGGCAATCATACAACCAGTTGTTGGCAGTTCTTTCAAGTATAGTATATGAAACGGAGGTGACAGGATGTCAGCATTGAATGGCAGCTGAGTGTGGCACTGCATACAAGGACTTTACAGATCCCAATGATCACTTTGGGGAACATGGCACAGAAGCGGAAGACTGTGATGAATGAGCAAAACTGAATCCAGACCAGAAAACCTAAAAATATCACACAGATCAGTGAAAGGTTTGGTGAAATAAACTACAGAATGGTCCTTAACAAGTGTGTCCCACTGTGTGCAGGGAAGTGCATAGTCACATATACCACAATTTAAAACAAGACCTACAGGGAATCTTTGTCCACAACCAAATTAGGAAAAACTGCTTGGGGAAAGTTTGGTGTGTGTAATTCTGTTGATATTGTTTCTGAATTGGTCACAGGGGTGTCTGGATAACAGAAATCAGTCTAAAAATGATTTACAACAGAAGAATGGATGTCTTCATGTCACAAGAGCACGGTTGTGTCCAATTGATTTGAAACACTGTGCTCCCAACCTGCCCAATCTGGAAACACAATGCCGCCTCAGCATCCAGAAGTAGTCCTGGCTTAGTACAAAAAACAGGAAAACAATTAAAAATAATGTGCTGGAACCTGCAGTTTCTAAACTCGGCTCATTCAATCTTTTCTCCGCTCCCTGTATGTGGACAATGATGAGCCCACAAAATCTTCTATAATCTTTTCAAAAACAGTGCCATTTTGTATTTAGAATGTACAGTCTACTAGATGCATCCAATTCTTTGCACTTGTCTATATTAAATTTTATTTACCTTGTGTCTGCTCACCATAGTGGTGGTACTATAGTGATGCCTTTGCAGTTTCCTACGTGTTTGCTAATGCACTTATTTTTAAGTCATCTACACATCTAAAAGGGTTGCTGACACTACAGTACATTCAATTGGATGAAAAAAAGATCGGGGCAGGATGCAACCGAGCCAAAGATTAAGGGCTACTTTCAAACTATCAGGACAACAGATTAGGAAATAAGACAAATTAAGTAAGTAAGCCTCTTCCTGCTGCCAGCTCAAGCACATACTACCCAGCATCTGCATCTCAAAGTGGTCTCAATTTAATATTGTAACTAACGCTCCCAGGTCTCTGTGACTGTGGCATGGGGAATGACAGGCTGGAGATGACTTCACAGGCTAACTGTCAGTTCTATTGTCCTTTTCACAGTTAATCAGGAAGGCAGAAAAAGTGCATGCATCCTCTGGATGCAGAGGAGGGATTCATGCAGCCTATTTCTAAGTTTGTGATTACAAATGTGTCTTTTAGTTGAATGTTATTTTAATTAAGTTGAAGCCAACACATTAATACTTTAAATTATATGAGAGTTACTTTTAACCACACAAACAAATGCCATAGTACATTACACAACAGTATAGTGATAGGCCTGTTTATATATGAATTTGGCTATTTGCAGCAGTTCTCTGCACCAAAACCTTGTGAAAGCTGAGACCTTACTGAACTAAAATCAAGATCATTCATGCAAATCAGAAAGCAGTTGGTCAAAAACAGATCCTACATGGCACTGCATAATTACGGCAGGCCTGGTTTATGCATCACCTTGAATTCCTACAGCTTTCAATTTGAGAAATAGCATTTTTGTGGAACCATATCAATTTAACCCTGGAAAGCTAAATATACTTTATCAATGACCTTTGACTTTTAGTAACCATTGTTTACTAAAGTCTATTCACTCTAACAAGTCAAACAAGACCTGCCCTTTCAAAGTCCTTGCCTATTCCTGATATAATATTATAAAGATAAATATTCTAATTTAGATCTTAACATTCTCTCCATAAAACGGAGACTGATTGGCCTGTAATTTCGCAGTTCTTTCGTTTAGAGCAGTATAACAATTTTAAGTATAGCAATTTTCCAATCAGTGAGAGCCAGTCCTGCTCTTAAGACCTAATAGAAGCATCCTCATGCATCAAGTACTGCTAGTAAAATAACATCAGCTCCAGCTGATTGCCAATATCAGGCAAGGTCTTACTTCATTCCTAGGCATACTATGTGTCATATCATTTAATTTCTAAGCTGTGAAAAGTATTCAATCATCGTATCTGCAAATTCCCTCTTCATTATTTATCATCAACCCTTTGTTAATCTTCATACACTGGATATTAAGTCCAAAGTCAAGAAATCATAAGAGAACAGCATCCTCCTTTTTAAGTTGTTTTATACATTCGGCATCTGCTCAACATGCATGAATCTGCAGCACAAAACTTCTAGCTAAAAATCCAAATATGTTAATTATATTTGTTTTATATTTTTTCCCTATTCTAAATTGCTCATTTTCAGTTTACATTTCTTTTATTAACATACATACTTTTGCAGTATTCACACGTACATGGAAAACATTGCAATTGAAATAAAAGAACTAAGTGAAATGTTATCGGACCACCATATGTCATTTTCCGTTCTATTTGCAGCAAGGTACAACTCTAACAAAAACCTATTGCTTAACTCTGGACATAAAAAACAGAGAAGTTATGTGTGCTATATGTTGCTATCAGTCCCTGAACTCCACAAATCATTTCCACAGAACTATAAATTGTCTGTCTGCAGGTGTGAAGACAGATAAACCTGCAAACTAAAACACTTAACCACTCCTGGGTGGTGTGGTGGGACTGTGGCTAAGGATATGCACCAGTGGCTGCAATGCATGTATCCCAGCAGAGGAATCCTACTCTGTTGGGCCCCTGAGAAAGGCCCTTAACTCCAACTGATCCAGTGGCACCGTATATAAGCTGACCCTGTGCTCTGA